GGGGGGGAGACTCTGGAAGCCAAGCTTCACATATCGGAAATAACACTGACAATAATTATAACGCTCAGGTCCCAGAGTATCCGACTTCGGGAATTCGACTCTACTCGGCTGCACACCTCACACCTCAGTCTCTGCTCGTGTAGCCCACCCCACGCTCCTCGCTCCGCCAAGGTCAGCCGAGGAGCGCGGGAGCGAGCCCAGCGCGCCCCTCCCGCCAGACGAGACCCTCTCAGGGCTCCCCACCGCCCGCAGCCCTGCGTGACACGTGCTCCCTTTGCACGGCCACCTGCCATTTCGTAACACCCTCCTGCCTCCCCTCCTCCTTCCGTCGGCAGCTCCCGTCCGCCCGGATGAACCTTGACTCATAACCAACCAAACTTCTTCCCATTCTTTTATGGGAGAGGTGGCGCGGTTGGGTATGAGTGCGCTTGACCGGGAATCGATACCTCAGAGCGAGAACCGCTCAGTCTCTGCAGGAAAGCCTATTATACTGAGCGGTTCTCGCTCTGAGGTATCGGAATGGGAGGTAGTGCAGCGGGAGTTAGAAAGAGATGAGACGGGTGGGCACACGGTGATAAGCCTGTGCTGCACCCAGATGCGATCCGAGCGGATCCGAGCGAAAAGCTTCCGAGTCATGAAATCCCTTCATAGAGCAAGATTCACAGGGACTTATCATCCACACGGGTTACACCTAACTCCGGTCGGAACTCCGACGGCTAGACAGTTGTAGCTACAATTGACACGGCCACATGCAGCTTCATCCGTGCCGACTATAGACAGAAGACAAAAGTCCGCTCACGCTGCTCGGCGCCTTACATTCTCACGCCCCCATTTTATTTTATTATTTTTTCGGAGTAAGGGGAGGAGCATTTGTCTACAATCGGTTCGTATGAGGCTTCCTGTGACCGTATCGGTTGTTGGTTATAGCTGTGTAGTTACAACTACAAACAGACACATGATGGCAGCAAGCCACTAGCCACAGCCACCAGCCCTAACGCCTAACGACCAGACGATAGGCCACCGGCCCAGACGGCGTGCATTTTATTGCCTAACCTTAGGCGCTCTAAATGACCCAATTGCGCCTAATTGTTGTTAAAACCTCTTCTCTCACGTCCCTAACCGGGTGTATTTATATTGTCCAACCTATTTTTCTCCGACCTGGTGACTTTTCCAAAATCCCCAAGAGTACTGTCCGACCTAGGTTTTGTCCGACCTAATTATCTCCGACCTATTTTTCTCCTACCTCGTCAATATTCTGAAATTTAGGAAGAATGTGCAAAGACGAACAGGCTTCAAAGGCCATGAAGGGGTACTTCGTAACACCCTCCGCGACTATGACGGAGCGTGCAGCCCTACGTCACAGAACAGTCAAAAGTCCGCGCTCACGCCCAACTCCCCCTAACCGATCAAAAAAAATTAAAAATGGGGAAGTACGCCCCCCACCCCGCAGTCGGCGGCGACTTCTGAGTTCTGACGGGGATCAGCCGCTTCCAACCACAGGGCTCAGCACATACTCCCGGTTGTTGGACTTACAGGTGTCGCAAGGTAAGCAAGACTGAAACCCGAGGCCTTACCTCCGAAGGGAATGTTATCTTTTTCCGTCCCGAGGGGTACGCGGGTATCGAACCCACATTCCACAACCCCGAGTGCCGAACCCAATCGTCAGTACCAGCGACCCGGCCACCCAAGCTACCAGGGGCTGGAATGGAGAGGGAGAGGGCTCGACTGAACTAAACGGAGGTTGCTGAAGTGCAAACGAGAGCGAGTCGCAACAGTCCTGCTTGCGTCCCTCCTCGTATCACTCTTTCCTCTCTGTGTGTCCACGGTCCTCTAGGCTCAACCATGTGGCCAGCGGACCCAAGCTGTCCCGCGTCCCGCGGCGTCGGCTCGCTGCACCCCGTCCCCGTCCCGTCCGGCCCCGCCCCGCAACGGCGCCCCGTCACCGACAGGCCACGCCGCCGCGCCCCGCGTCGCTACGCAGCTCGCCGCCTTATTGGGGTAAAACACACTCACACACACACACACAGCAGTGCCGCCTCCTAGAGCAGGGCGCGTTGCGACACCCCCCTCCCCACAGCCGTTCTTTATGAACTCACACCTCTCATGACCATCGAAGGGCAACCTAACCTCTTTCAACCTCCTCCCGCGGGCGACTGGAGTGGCCGTCCGTCCCGGTTGGCCCACCGCCTACTGGACCGTGCGTCTAGCAGGAGCTCCTCCCCTTGCTCCCTGGCCGCCACTACAGTGCCAACCCCTCCTCATATGCTACATTTGTATAGGACTGGGAAAATGTTGTTCAGCCGTGCGTCGATGATAAAGAATAATCATGCTGAGGACGTCCATCCGCTTACGCCAATCACAGGTTGATGGAGATAAAGGTGACGGACGGGCCGTAGCGGGCGGGGCGGACGGAGCGGGCACATTGACGTGGATCCAGAGAGTGACTCAGCCCGCCCCGCTCCGCGGAGACGAGACGACGGACTTTGCGCCGGAACCGCAAACGGGGTGGCTCGGACGCGAAATACGTAAACAAATTTGCTAGAACCTCGGCTAGAACAATTTTATGAATTCGATGCTCAATAAACGGGAGGCAGCTGCAGCGTTTCTGTAGAAAACAAGTTGGTGGTGTCATCGACTGCCTCCTTTCGATTCCGTCGTGGTCAGCATGCTGGTGCTGATGTACTGAGAGGCGTTCCAAGTCAGCAGCAGAGCCACCAGCATAGCGTTGCGTGTGCGTGTCAACGCTCCGGCGGGCGGGCGGGCGGCGTGTCGGGGCGCGTTATTGCGACCTATACACATCACGTTTGTTGTAGTTTTCTGGCGCACTGACTCCGACGGCGGGGCGGACGCCTCGCGCTTCCACGCCGCAGCTCCCCCCCCCCTTCCCCCCTACCGGGCACAACACCACCGCCACCGCGCACAGCAGGTAGGCAGTACGGGGGCGCGGATGTTTGGCGGGTATGCCTAATCTCCTTCAGACAGACAGCATCCCACATGAGCGAACACCATGGCTGCTAGAATGTATTGGTGATGATAAACTACGTTGACGTGGATTATTTGATCATCGCTTGAGTACCTTCGACGAAATTTCGTCGATACCCGGGGCCTATTACCTATTTAAGTCGACGAGGATTGAGGGTTTTATGACCTATCGATAAAACGCACATGAAACCAAAAGTATTTCAATCGTTGCGCAGAAAAGACGTGAATGCTGCGTGCTGACTTCACTGAGACACGTCGACATCCACTACGTCTCTCTAC